CAAGCAGCAGCGGCCAGGATGGGTCCCAGGTCTTCCGGAGCTGGCTGGTGAAGTATGGGCATTACTTATTCGATTTCCTTCTTTTTTTTTTTAATTAAAAAATGTTTTAAATTATTTTATTTAGCTTTATGTATTTATTTAACTTGACCAGAGAGGGGCTGAGTGAGACAGTGAGAGAGAAGAAAGTGAGAAAGCAAGCCACCAGGTCCAGGACTCAAACTTTGGTCGGCCATGTGGGAGTCCAGCATCCCTAACCACCATGCCACAGCCGACCCCCCTTATGATTTCTTCTTTTTTTTTTTTTTTCTTTTTTTTGGAGAGGTTTTTGCTATAGGGCGTGTGCACTCACCAGAAAGAAAGACAGAGAGACAGAAAGTGAGAAATCACCCATCAGGGGGATGGCCACACCACAGTCCCTTCTCCTCTTGGGATCTTGGGCATACACGCACATGAGCCCAGTATGAGTTTAAGCCACTGGGTCTGGGACTCAAACTGCAGTCGACTCTATGGGAGTCCAGCAACATAGTCATTACGCTAACTGCTGGTCCCATTCCCCCTTATGATTTCTAATGACCTAAAGCTTTAATTATTTTATTTGAAGAGTTCTTGTAGACATTCCTGAAAATATAGGTGAGCAACAAGAAGAAAACAAAAAGCTCTCAAAAATCTCACCCTTTTGGAGAAAACAACAATTAAATGTCATGTGCCTTTCTATGCATGGACGTTGTGTAGACACTGTGATTAAAACCAGGTGTGGGTGCTGCCGCTGGAAGCTTTGTTAGAGGTGCCTGAAGTAGGAAAGAAGTTTGAGAGGACTCCCAGTGCACCCCAAAGGGACACTGGGAGTGTTAGAGTCAGGGTAACTGGGTGGGTTTAAGAATCTGGTTGCTCTCAGAAGTCTCCTGGATTATCCACAACTCCAAGGATAAAGAGGTCTGGCCTGGCTGGACCCTTCCTCCCAGGGCCCTAATGGAAAGGTGGAACCCTGCCCAGGCCCTCATCCCCGGCTCCAGGCATGGGCCCAAAGCCCTCCTAACTGCAGTGTTAGACTGATAAGAGTGTGATGCAGAGGACCTTGGACTCCTAAGGCCCCAAGTAGTAGACTGACTTCAGGGAGAGGTTAGCTCCCTGGGTGCTTAAGGCCTGGATCGTTGGTCGAGAGTGATAAAAAGAACAATACCTGCCCACAAGACTTGTGTTACTGAGATAAAGGAAGACCAGCCCACTGACTGTCACCAGCCGTGGCAAGATGGGATTCTCTCCAGAAGGGTCTCATTGAGAGTAGGTTTCAAATTCTTTTATTTCTTCCATTAATGAGGGAGCGCCCCCCTCCCCCCCCCACGGGGTCTTCGTACCATGATCCACCTCCAGGTTAGGCCTGGATCACGGGATCATGTACTCAAGGAAATATCTGGACTTGAACCCGGAGTCCTCCCATATGAGTCAGCCTCACAGAGTATCGTCTGTTACCACCGTACCACTGTCCTACCCCTCAAGTTCTTTTGAGCAGCAGAATTGGTATAAAATACAATCTTCTGTGAAATCCCAAAGTATGAGAAGGACGAAAATGGAGATAGCTCTGCTCTGAGTGAAGCAAGGACAGGTGCTCGCTGCTCCATCTCCTCCTCCTTCCTCCCCCGCAGGGATGCTCCTCTGCGTTTACAGAATTCTGCCGTATGCCAAAGACAGGATGGCAACAGCAAGCTGGCCAGGAGAAGCAGGGCAGTCACTCCCTCTGCCTGGCCTGGGTGGCAGCCATCTGAGCCTGGCTATCCTTCCCCTCCAAAACCCACTGCGGCTCCCCTGGGGCCAGCCTCCAGGATGGGTGGGGCACCTGAGGCTGCCAGTAGAGCTCTTTGTGGGTTGACCTTTCTTCCAGGCCAGAGGACAAGTGGGCAGGGTACTGGGGGACTCTGAGGCTAGGTGGGGCCAGCCCTGTCCCGATTTCCCCTCAGTGGGGTTCTCTTGCTCACACCCTGAGGAAGAACCGTGACTCACTTCCTGCTCAGTCAGACTACAGTAGTATTGTTCTCCTAACTGCGCTGGCCCTGGCAGGGGCTACCCCAGGGTAGCCCCTTTGAGTCTCACTTTCTTGTGAGAGAAGTTCCCTCCCCTTCTGGGAGAGGGAACCAATCAGATGTAGAGACTCAATTTTTTAAAGTTTGCTTATTTTTAAATTTATTTATTTCCTCCACCAGAGACAGCACCTCAACAGAGTTCTTGACCCGTCCACCCCCAGCTTCAGCTATCCCTGGATCAGGGGCATGTGAATACATATATCCATCCCCAGGGAGATCAGACATTAACCTAAAATCTTCCCATGGTGTCCGCCTCGCAGAGCATAGCATACTACCATTTCTCCACCATCTGTCCCCCCAACTCAGCTCTGACGACCCCACAGCACAGCCAGGGGAAACATTGTACAAAATGTTTTGTTTTTGCAGTGGTTGGTAAGGGCGCCCGCATCGTACCTAGGGCCATGATTGAACGTTATCTTTATCTTACAGAACAGTCCACGGGTCTTTGAGAAATTCAACAACTTGTGTAATGCCACAGGGATTCAAACCCACGTTTGCTGGTTGACCTCGTGTGAGTTACCTTGGGATATTATCTCACCTCTCTGGGCCTCTGTTTCCTCCTTGTGACATATGGGCAGTGACAAGTAAAAGGTACCTAAAGGAAAATGTATTGTCCCTACCTGGTGGGGTTCGTGGGGATGATGAAACGAATGAATGAGAAGAGCTCCGAGTGGTACCTGGCTCGCAGAAAGCAGCTGGTGGCATGTGTGTTTTATCACTGTGTTAGGGAAGCCACAGCTCTGCCTCAGACTACTGTCCGGCCAGGTACTGTCTAGAGAGCTGGAAGGGATGGGCTGAGGCAGCTCTGCGACCTTGGAATAACCCAGCTTGGGAAGCTTGGCTGCATTCTCCCTCTTTTCTTTCTTAGCTCAAGCAGTGCAGGTCTGGGCCAAGTAGCACAGACGTTTTCTAGGGCAGAGACCCAGGGAGGCTCGGCTGGTATATTGCAAGTAGCTTGGATTCAGGCTCCGCCAAAGCCTGGCACCTTCCAGGCTCCCAGGCCTGTTAGTTTTGAGACTCTGGGCAAATAATCTAAACTTGGTGTGCCTCAGTTTCCTTATCTGTAAAATGGGATTAATAATGTCAGCCTGAAAGGATTATGTGGATTAAATAATGTACATAAAGAGGAGATAATACGCAAAAACTGGCCCTGAGCCTGGCACGCGGTTAGTGTGAAAGTAAAATAAATAAAAATTGAAAAGGAGATGGGTTACTTCTGTTGACAGATTCTTCTGTCTATAGAGACGCAAACATTGCGACTCGGTTAACAGGAGGCCAGGAGTCGGCCCTGCCCAGGGAGGTCGAACCATCCCACCTGGTTATGCCCAAACTCGGGGTTCAGGAGTGGGGAGGTAGGGGAAGAGGGCCAGCCCCCAGGGTCCAGCCGAGCCTGGGCTCAGAGTGACTGTCCAAGCGCTCCCATTCCATTCCAAGGTTCTAAGTTCGGGTCTCCACCGACAAATGTCCACGGAACTCGTGGAGCGAAGAGCCAAGTCCACGGGCGGGGGCGCGGGCGGCGGGGCCGCGGGCAGCGGGGCCTGGGGGCGCGTAGGGCGGCCGCGAGGGCTTTGGGAACACCGGCCCCACTTCCTACCTGCCCCTACCGGGAGCCGGAGGCCGCGGACGCCC